GGGGGGGGGGGGGGGGGGTGTCATCTTTCGTATTAAACCTGCGGACTTCCTTCGGCGGTTGTGCGTAAGCGCGTCAGCTGGTCCATGCCGCACCTTTTTGAAGCTGCGGCCGAACACGAGCTCCTTGAGCGCCCTCGGCCAGGCTGTCAGGTGCACCGGCTGGTTGAACGCGGAGCCGAACGACATCCTCTCCAACCGGTCCGGCCACACCACTTCGTCTATCGCCTGCGGGACGTTTCGTCGACGCCAAGCGAAAGCTGGATTGTTTGACGGTACGGTAGGGGGGATGCACTTTGGGGGTGACATCTTACGGTTACGGGAGAATCGTGCACCAGTCCTTCTTCGGTGATCCTACATCGATGCCTTGCAACCCTACCCGAAAGCATCCTCTCAAACCCGTCCGGCCACACCACTCCGTCTATCGCCTGCGGGACGCTTGGTCGACGCCAAGCAAAGGCAAACTTGTTTGGCGGTAAGGGTGATGGTACCGTATATGACACAAGACATCACACCCCCTGGAACGACTTTCAAAGCTTCACTCATCCGCGGCGAAGAGGATGCTGAAATCAAAGGACAAGTTGTCGGAAAGCTCTCGACGAGACGGTTTCAACGCCGGCATTTTCGGCACCGTCACTGCCGTTCCTGCGGAGTAATCAAGGTTTGAAACTCGCCCCAGAAGGGTTGTGACACCTTATGCAAACTACGGTTTCTGTTCTGGGAGAATCGTGTACCAGTTCTGTTTCTGTGACAAAATGTTGCCACCAACAGGGTGAAGAAAGGGTGTGTGTCACCCTACCCGAAAGCAGAAAATGATGTGGCCCCCTACAGTGGCATCGCGCGAACAATACGGTACGCGTGCGGGTGAAGAACCGCCAGGCACCCATCATTTGCGGTATCAGGAGAAAAAAAAAGACAAACGGGTGTGCATGACGTTTTGTGTGCGTGGCCGATTTCCGCGCGGAAACCTCCCCGAACTCTTGTCTGCGGAATAGAATCTCTATTGTTTATTTCAAGAGAAAAAAAAAAAAATAGAAAAACGGAGAATTTCCGAGAGTACTTGAGGTGGTTACGTACACGGGCTGTTGTATCATGGCCAGGAAAACACCATACTTGCTCTCTGAAACCCGTGTTTTCCCACCGGACCCGTTCCTACTGCCGTACACAGCAGTTCAAACAGCACCCCCATTTACGAACTTAGCGGTGGAGAAACTGATATTGCCTCGAAAAACTCACTACCAGTTGTGAGCTCGGTTAAGAACCCCTGTACACAAAAAACTATACATTGGCTATTCCTACGATATTTCCAGCGTGGGCCAGAGCTAGAATTTCTCGAGTCTCGGTGCTAGCTGCACCTGATTGAAGCGGTCGCCAAAGGCTAGGGTTCGGAGCCCGTCCGGCCACCGTACCCCGGCCACCGGCATATTGAAGTGGAAACCCAGAGACAAGTGTCGGAGCCTTGCCGGCCACACCACTCTGTCCACGGACTGCAGGATGAAGCAAAAACAAGAGAGAGCGCGAAAACATAGAATGGGGTCTACGGCGTGGAGAACGGGGGGGGATATGTACCCGTGAACGAGGCCTTGGATCACTCTGTCCACGGACCACGGCATGAAGCAAAAACAAGAGACAACGTGAAAACATAGGAAGGGGGTTACGGCGTGGACAACGGGGGGGGGGGGGGGGACCC